TTGGWGCCAATGAATTCTTGTGACTGCGATCAAAATGATGATGGATTGTGCAGGAATTCTTTGGATCAATTACGCAAGAGCAGAGTCGAATATAAATGGTGCAGCAAGCGCACGTCTTAATGTACATCTCTGCAGGAGGATAATGACCAGCAGCTGATTTAAACAACATGTAAACTGCATGTATGGATTATGTAGAGTGTAGAAGTGACCTGTGATTAGATTGGACCTCAGAGGGGTTTTTATTTATTTTTTAAATCAATAAGATATTCAGCATCCCCCACTGACTGTTTAATAATTCATTGAGTCAGTATTTAGACAAGCAATAAGACACATAGAAAGAATCCTATTCTTCTGTATTTACTGTATTGTAATAGTTGAAACTTGAACTGACGCTTTGTTTAAGGATTCTAGTTATCGCCCATGACTAACAACAAATGTATGATTTCAGAAAGTAATTATTGGATATACATCCACAACTGAATCACGTCAGAAGTCAATCCTATTCAAGATGGATGCCACAGCTAAGCTAAGCTACCTTAGCCTCCTGAGACCCCAGCTTTTATTTGGCGTACATTTTTCCCCTCCCCTCACACATATATGGGATTAGTAGGACCTAATAAGTATATTAACTATACTCTATCATTGTACAGGAAATGTTTTTGCAGAAAACAGTGTCCTCATATGAGGACACTGGGTCTAAAAATGTCACGCTTGTTGAGGAATTCTTGAGCCACTACCATACAAAACTTGAGAAACTTCATGGAAGCCTTTCTGGGAGTACCATTTTCCTTGTTATTTTAACAGTGCAGCAGCCAGCTGTTGACCAGAGCAAGGTCAGTGAAGTGCATATCAACATCACTCAACTTTCAGATTGATCCTCAGTATGAAGAACTGATTACATGACATGATGGCAGGAAAATGTACAGAATTTGACCAAAACATTCTTGGTATAATTAATTGGTTCAACAAATATATGTTTGTGAACTCTTTTAAATATTCCCAGGCTTGTCCAACTGCATGGCACAGTCAATAACGAAATAAAGTCCCAGTGTCCTCAAATGAGGACTTGATCTTTGCTAACATTGTACTTTGCTATTGTAAAAAAAAATTGTCTAATTTGCATGCCTCATGAAACTGAGTGTCATTCCCAGCACATATTTTGAACACTAACACATTGTGCAATATCTCACAATATTGCAAGAGGCAAACAACTGACTAGAACTCTGAAAGGCGACTCTTTTAAGGACAACTCAGACTTTAATTAATAAAAGTGAGATAATGATTGTCATTATGCGTGTATACAGACTGCATTTTGGTCGATAAAGGGCTGATATGGAGTGAAGATTTTCAGCTTGCTTTGTCAACATCTTGTTCTTCATATTTATTTTTTATATACTGTATATTCACTGTCACACTGTGAAGACATGCTAAAGGACTTTCACTCTCCAAGTCCTCTGAGTCTCTCTAAGCTCTTTTCAGCTTACACACTCTGCTTAGGATGCATTTTCAAGTAGTTAACCCACTTTCTGTTCTTGCTTACAGAACAAAAGGACACTTCTGGGGTTTCTCTGACTTTCTTTTATTCAAGCTTGGCATCTAAAACAGCTTTTTTTAGTCTCAGACAATGAGACTGTATTTACATAAACATTTGTGGTCACCTCTGAGAATGGTCATGTTGGGATAGACTGCTTTGAATGAGAGGTAATTGGAAGTTTCATTTTGCTCAGAGTTTCTGAAAGAAAAGGGTTTGAATACCAAATATTACATCAAAAGAAAAATAAAGAAGTAGTTTGCATTCTCCCTGGGTTAACACATCTTGTTACAATTAAATAGTTAGTATTCTTTGATGGAACACATGCCACAAGTTTAGACTAAGACCATCTTTTGAGAAATGACAGAGTTATAGACATGTTGGTAAAACATTTGTCTGTCTCACAGGTGATAAATATATGAGCTGTGATCGTGAACTGATCCTGTGTACACCTTTAATTATCTGCTCGGAGCCGTTTTGGTGCATTTAGAGATGCAGGGATGTTCTGTTCTGCTGACCCCTAATAAATATTCTCAGCGGGAGACAAAAATAGAAAGGAGAGAGGCTCTGTGAAGATCTGGATTTTCTCCCAGACTCATCCAAACAAAAATACATTCTCATTACTTTCTCTGCAGGGATGTGCGGCGCAGCACTCTGATCCACTGGCATGTTTTTTTATGTGCCTCTGATTCGCTATTTTTCAAGAAGTAGAACCTTGCCGAAATGAGTTTAGCCTGTGACACTGGGTTGCGGTTTCATTAAAACACAACAGGTGTGTGAGTCGTGCCGTGGAGAGCAGACTGAATTTGAACTATGTTGACAAATTTTGCAAATGTGCAGCCATAATCAATATCTCCGCCCCAAAAGGAATTCATCAGAGATGCTTGTTGAAAAATGAATTTAACAAGGGAAATAACATATGAAAGAGGTAAAACTGTTTTGCATAGATCAATATTACATCTCTTTGGGAAATTCTTGCAGAAAAAAAAACACCTGTATTGATTTGATGCCTGACATAGCCTATGTATATTTTTAGGTGACAGCTCAGGAGATGTCTTAATCTTTGCTCGAGACCCTCAAATGCCAAGATTCATTTTCTCTCTGCTCCTTTTGGAATTATGTTATTATGGTTGGGGGGATGACAGTTGTATCAATTATGCATAGGCTGAGAGTTTATGGAAGGTATCTATGCAAATCAAGTTCACCCCTCAGCTGACAGTGGGATAAATGAAAATGTTCTGCTTAAAGTAGTAAAACCTGTTTATTTATCCACCCATCTATCTACCCATCCATCTACCCACCCACCCATCTACCCATCTACCCATCCATCTATCTATCTACATATCTACCCATCTACTCATCCAGCTACCTATCTACCCATCTATCCATCTACCCATCTATCTACCCACCCGTCTACCCACCCACCCATCTACCCATCTACCCACCCATCTATCTATKTATATATCTACCCATCTTCTCATCCATCTACCCATCTATCAATCTACCCATCTACCCATCTATCTACCTATCTACCCATCTACCATCTACTCATCTTTCTATCATCTACTCATCTTTCTACCCATCCATCAGCCCATCTACCCATCTACCCAGCTATCTACCCATCCATTTACCCATCTATCTATCTACCCATCTAGCTACCCATCCATCTAAACATCTACCTATCTACCCACCTACCCAGGTATCTACCCATCCATTTACCCATCTATCTATCTACCCATCTAGCTACCCATCCATCTATCCATCTACCTATCTACCCACCTACCCAGGTATCTACCCATCCATTTACCCATCTATCTATCTACCCATCTATCTACCCATCCATCTATCCATCTACCTATCTACCCACCTACCCAGGTATCTACCCATCCATTTACCCATCTATCTATCTACCCATCTATCTACCCATCCATCTAC